CGCTTACCCCTCTCAGTGTTTAACAAATTGCAGGAGATAAGTAACCAGTATGGTTATATACTGTCAGAAGATGTATAATAGTTTTTTTTTACTATTACTTTTGTATTTCGGTTTACCTATGTATAAAATTACAATATCCTGGGTAGTTATGTAATATACTAAAACTTAGTCGGTTTGTATCCAGTCTTTTGTAATCACATTATCAATGTAAAATATTATTTATAAATATGCATGTAGCATGTTTTGGAGTAACAATTGTCTTCAAAAATACGAAAGTTTAGAAATGGGTTCTTTCAAACTTAGTAATAGGTAATAAAAGTTAAAATTGAACACAGAAAGTATTGGATTAAAAAAAAACATAATATATTAAATAAAAGTAAATACTCGAACAATGGAATCACACCAAGTCATTAAGTTACATATTCTCTAATGAGAATATAACGGTTTTAACTCATAATCTGTTGGTAAAAATAGAAAAACATCAAAACTAACTTGGGTTACATATTCTCTAGTGAAAATCTAACCGTTTTAACTCATAATCTGTTTGTAAAAACAAAAAACATCAAAATGAATTGCTAAACACGATCAATAAACAAACCGATTCTAGTCATAATGCTCTTACCTTCCAATTCTTTAAATATTTGCTCTAAAATGTTTCTCAAACCTTGAAACGACCGAAAAAGGTTTTGAACGTTTGAAACACCTTTTAACCCCTTGGGAAAGATTCCCAAGAGTGGATACCGGATCAAGGTTGAAAATCTCAAATATTTGTAGATTTCAACGATGTCACATCGAGAAAAATGCATTCTAGCGTTGTGAATGCCGAGAATCTGTATTATAATTTTTGGTTTTTTTCTTGTTTTCTGTCCTTATCAGCTCAAATCGGATCCAATCCTTTCCTTTTGCTCCAAGCCATGAATTTAACCTATAATTATCCAATTCAAAGCATTTTAAATACATTTTTATCTTTAAATAAAACATTTATATCCAAATATATTAAGATAATGACCTAAAATATATGTATAAATATATATGAGAGAGAGACTCTTATTTATTTATTTTTCTCAATAAAAAATTCAAATATAAAACATATAACAAAGAAAACAACAATTAAAAAAGATAAATTAAATTAAAAAAAAATACTAAAGTCATTTAACAAGTAAACTTGGCCAAATGGACCGGTTATTCAAGTTTTTGAAACCACCAGACAAAACACATAACAATTCCAATAGTTATCATTTTTACGTCTGTTTTTAGAAACCACATAAACCAATAGCATAATTTAGTCTAAAAAATTTGATTTTCATATACATTCGGAATGGCGAAATACTAGTTCTTTCTCTATTTTAATTCTCTTTTTGCATTTCTGTTATATTTTCAATTCATTTTCAGAATTAATTCTCTTTATGTGGTTTAATTCTGTTTCTTCATTTTCATTATATGTTTAAATTCATTTTTTTAAATACAAAATGCACCGTTAAATGTATTGTGAGTTTTCTAATATAGTTAAAATCAAATTTTGATAAGTCAAAAGAAAAATATTTGAGACTAAATGAAAAAAGAAACGGTTTACTAATTGATTGACATTAAAGTAAACTTATTCCTGCCCTTTTTAAGCACTTAAAGTATTGCCCTTTTTTAAGCACTTAAAGTATGACCGACTGAATAGTTTAGTCTCATAATTCTCCTTCACCAAGATCCTCATATCTTCCAATCTTCCATGGCTTCTCTGAAGCTATCTTCATCTTTCCATGACACCACTCACACCTTTCAACAACCTTCTCCTATGCAAATCTTCCCCAAAACCCTAAAGCTCCATGTCCAAACACCAAATAATTCCATAACTGTCTCGTCTCTCCCAAGCCTAACTTCGAAAACCCACATCCAAAACTCCCAAAAACACGAAAACGATGAAGAATTGCAGGTGTTTACAGAAGATCATAGACCTCTCCGTCAGATCTGGCCTGAAATCCAAGGCTCCAGCAACTGGAATGGTCTTTTAGACCCCATGAACTCCCACCTCCGCCGTGAAATAATTCGCTATGGTGAGATGGCTCAAGCCTGCTACGACTCTTTCGACTTTGACCCTCGATCCAAATACTGTGGAACTTGTAAATACATAGGTACTCATTTCTTCGAAAAGCTTGACATGGCTGATCGTGGATACAGTATTCATCGTTATCTTTATGCCACCTCCAACATCAATCTTCCAAATTTCTTTCAAAAATCAAAGTTATCAAGTGTTTGGAGCCAACATGCCAATTGGATGGGCTACGTAGCGGTTGCCACCGATGAAAACGAGATTAAAAGGCTAGGCCGTCGTGATGTCGTCATCGCCTGGCGAGGTACTGTAACATACCTCGAATGGATCCATGACCTGAAGGACATATTACATCCTGCTCATTTCAGCGATGATCACTCAATCAAAATCGAATCAGGGTTCTTTGATTTGTACACTTCGAAAGAACATTCATGTCATTATTGCTCATTTTCAGCTCGCGAACAGATTCTTTCAGAGATTAAGAGAATCAAAGAGAGGTACGAAGGTGAAAAACTTAGTATCACGATTACAGGACATAGCCTCGGAGCTGCGCTTGCTCTGTTGAGTGCTTACGACATCGCAGAGATGAAACTAAACTTTACAAACTCCGGCGAAAAGATCCCGATCACGGTGTTCTCGTTTTCTGGACCGAGGGTAGGTAACTTGAAGTTCAAAGAACGTTGTGAAAATCTTGGGATCAAGGTCTTAAGGCTTGTTAACGTGCACGATAAGGTACCAAAAGTACCTGGGATCTTTGCAAACGAGAAGAACAAACATCAGAAATACATCGAAGAAAAGATTGCGTTTCCATGGAGCTACGCTCATGTTGGAACCGAGATTGAACTGGATCATTTTGATTCACCATATCTGAAGCGAACAAAAGACATTAGCTGTGCTCATAACCTTGAAGCGTTGTTGCATTTGGTTGATGGGTATCGTGGTCGAGGTCGAGGGTTTTCTTCTGTGACGAAGAGGGATATTGCGCTTGTGAACAAGAGTTGTGATTTCTTGAAAGAGGAGTATGGTGTTCCCGCGTACTGGCGGCAGGATGAGAACAAGGGGATGGTGAGGGGTGGTGATGGGCGGTGGATTCTGCCGGAGCGGCCGCGGCTGGATTCTCATCCGCCAGACACTGCGTACTACCTTGAACAAGTTCTAAAGTTTGCTACTAAAACTACTTTGAATGCACTATAATTATGGGGACGTGATTTTGGTTGTAAGCATATATAGAAACCAATCAAACAGGTGAATTTCCCAAAATCTAATTTTAATGCATGCACCAACTTTAAATGTTTTGTTAAAAATGAATAATTACTATGATTCTTGTTAATAACTTATACTTAACATATTAAATATTTATTAAAAAAAACTGGCATACAAAATATCTTGGTTCAGTTACCCGACCCAATTCATATCAAATATTACTCATTTTGATTCAATATTCAACACAGCTAAGTTTACTAAAAGTCATAAGCGACAAACGATCCGATTTTCTTTTTTGTCTAAAGCTGTGTTATATCTTCTTTCTTTTTATAAATTTCTCACTTTCTAAGATGCCTTTGCAAAATCTGAAAAAGGCTATGGCAAATGTCGCCTTATCTCATCAACAGCTAGATAAGTTAATATTCATGGCGTTTGATAAAATTTATATGATTTTATACGTAATTGGACACACCTTCAAATAAATATGGAATTTTTATGCTATTTATCATACAAATGGTCGATCTAAGGTATACTTTATATTAAATGGATCAAAGTTGAAAAAAAATATTAAAGAACCAAATTACACCGGTCAAATATAGTCTCACATATAACTACAAGAATAGACATCTTGGTAGACTACGAAAGTCACCGCTGAAAACTTGATTTCTTTTAGGGTATATATATAGATCTTGGTTCCACTTGTCTACGGGATAGATTACGTAGTCGTTGGAAAGTCCAACAGTTAAAAAATGTAGTCAAGGGAAGTTTCGTTGCTATAGATCTTGACTAGTGTAAAATCATGTGACGCTTTTGTACTTTTTATTTTTCTCTATCATCAATTAACGTTAGATGTAAATAAAAAGAGTATTGATCTAGATAAAATTTCTCCAGGTAAACCAATCACCTAGTCAAGGGCACAGAGACACCCTAAACGACTTGTTTGCTTAATTTTCAATGGAAAGAATTCAAAGTTAGAAATTTTTATTTTCAAAAATCAACTAAAAATTATTTTAGAAATATTTTGTCATAAAATTTTAACTGGACAATTTTTTCTTGTATAACTCTTCCAAAGTGTGTCGTCCACAAAGATAAGAGGAAAAATTCTGGCCTCTATGTCCATGCGACTTTTTACCGCCATCGGTGAAACTTGTTAGAAAATGTTACCCATTCATGTAAAACCCATACCAAACAATGCAACCCGGAAATGTGGGGATCATAATCGTAGAGTGTGACGCATTCCACGTCGTATGTAAATAAAATATTGACTAAGACATGTGTAAAACATATTTTTCTTAAAAATAAGACTTTGTCTACATTATTGAGCGCCTCCTATGATATTAATGGTCGAAATGGTTCTTCATGGTGTTAAAGAACAAGCAACTCATGATCATAATGGTATTGTTTTTTCTTTAGAGAATATGTTTGTTATGCTTTTTCCATTATGAGTATAAAAATAATTATAAATACGTAACATTAGTTCTAATTATAAGGGACATAAATCCATATAATTAATAAATAAGATGTTACATAAGAATATATATATTACGGACATAAAGTCATATAACAAACATCTAGATTTAAAGAATTTGAGAGAGAGAGAGAGAGAGAGAGACCACTACAAGAAAAAAGAGTATTAGGGACGACTAGACCTTTAGCAACGACTAGACAAGGCATGCCTCATGTTGGCACTAAAAGCCACTGTCGTGGTTAATAATGTCGTCGTTAATAGTGTCCTCGCTAAAGGTATGGACCGGAGATCCGTTGGAGACACGCCACTTTCAATCTTGGCCTTTGGTTTGGAACATGATCCAACGGATAGGGTTCGTTCTTGTGGAAGGCAATAGCGACGACACCTTTAGCGGCGACATGTCGTCGCTATTGGTGTCGATCCGTGTGACCCACATTGAACGCAATCTTGGCCCTACGATTCTTACACGATCCAACGGTCAATAATCTCTAGAAAATGTGCGTTCAATTCCCTCCAATACGTCGCCGCTAATACCCTCCTGGGTGCCGTTATTAACGTCGCCGCTAAAGCGTTACTCCTTTAGTCCAGCTTTCTCGTCCCAAACGACGTATACCCTACCAAAGCTCTCTATTTTTCTCTTCAACGTCGATTTGCAACATCACCATAACTTCCACCGATGTCACTGCTCTCCACTCCTACTCAGATTGCCAAACCACCGCCGAGTAATATGTTCATTTTATTCAAAACTTGATCTAATGTCGCAACATATAAAATGGTTCAAACATACATGCTCATACTTTATACACATATCTTTATTTTCTACAACCTTTATTTCAAGCACAATACTTTGATAATCAACATCTTATTCATACGAATTCTATTTGGAGCATATGACATATTGAAATGAATGTTATTATATAGTTATGAATAAACCAATAAATTTGGAGCATATGACATATTGAAATGAATGTTATTATATAGTTATGAATAAACCAATAAATTGTTTATAAATTTTTGCTTCTACAACTTTTCCAAAGTCCATGGTCAACCAAGATGAAAGGAAAAATTGTGCTCTCTATGTGCATGACGTTTTGATGATGTAGGTGATATTTGTTATAAAATATTGCCATTCATGTAAACCCGAGACCCAAAAAATGCAACCCGAAAACATGGGAATCGTTATCGGACAGTATAACCCAAATTTGAATCGTATGTAAAGAACACATTGACTAAGACACTTGTAAAATATATTTTTTCTTAAAAATAGATTTTGTCTACATTATTGTGTTTCCTAGGATATTAATAGTCGAAATAGTTTTTTTTTGGAACCGGCAAATAAATTAACATAAAAGATAACCACCTAAGTCTAACAAGTAGCTAGACAAAGAGGGACAAAACAAGGAAGTTTACAAACAAGAAAACAGGAAAAAACACCAGTCAGCCCAAACGTAAGAACACCTATTGTAACACCCAGAATCCAGAAAGGAAAGAAAAACCCTAATTGAGAGGGCTACTCGTCGAGTCTAAGGGGATGGCTCGATGAGTAGAGGCGGATTTTGGGTTCTTGATCGTGAAGTTGTAGGCAATGAGAAGTTTCCAGAAGCGTAAGCTTTCTCGTCACCTTTTCGTGGATATAAAGTTCGTCGGAAACGGACTAAGAACGAAGAAGTTATAGCACTTTGAAGTTATTGACAATATTGGTCCCCAATGGAAATGTTTGGCAAGTAAGTACCACGCATGCAAGGTGGTAGGCGTGAAGGTACGCCCAACGTAAGTTGGGTTACGCCCAACGTATAAGTTCGTACGGACGCGGGTGCGGAGAAGCATACGCTCAGAGTCCCTAAACCCTAATTTTTAGGATATGTCACTATATAAAGAACATAATACCCTAGATATCAGCCTCCCTCTTATCCTTAGACAGCCACCACAAAACCCTAAACCTCCCTTGTGTGTCTTTGGAGCTTTGGAGGCCATTAGAGAGCATTTTGGTGTTGTGAAGCCATTTTCCAAGCAAGTGAAGAGCATAGGAAGGTGGTGGATCAAAGGAGAAGCAGTAGATCCGAGACTTTGGTTCCATTTCAGATCACCTTGAGGTATAAAGCTTTGAAATTTCCTCAAGTATACTTAGATCTAGTGTTGTATGTTTTGGAGTCTTTTTGGTCCCAAGAATAGAGCTTTAAGGTTCAAATCTGACTCCTAGGCTTAGAGTTGCCACTCTCTATGCTAAATGAGTCCCTAAGACAGAAAGTTGCCATCTTGAATGCCTTAATAGGTTCAGGCATGAGATCTAGCAATTTCCATGGAAGTTTGTTGTCACATTTTAAGTTTGGGCTCATTTAGTGGGTTACAAGCCACCAAGTAATCGACTTTATGGATTAAGACATTAAAAAGGATTAGGATCTGTGATTGTAGCTTTTGGATTGGAGTATTAAGCACTTAATGGGAAAAGTGACTTAACAGAGAAGTATGTTGGGCGTACATGCAGGTACGCGCAGCGTACACACCATTCAGTCAGTACGCTTAGCGTATAGAGGAGTACGCCCCGTGTACTCAACAAATATGGGTTTAGCGTGTTTTGAGCCTCTGATTGGGCCATGCATTGGATTTTAGTTCTTTGGGCCCTAGTGGGCCATCATAATTCAGATAATTTGGGCCAAGAATATGTTTGGGCTTAGGGTAAGGCCCATTAGAGGGATTAGGCCCAATTTAGCAAATTGGTCCATTAGTGGGCCTTTAATGGGCCATTAGTGGACTTAGAAAGATTAGATGGAATTGGGCCTTGGATATTGTCCAAGTTAGAGCAGGGGTAAAATGGTCGTTTTACCCTAACAAGGATTATTGGTTTTGGAATAAGTGCTATTTGGTATTGATATCTCAGGGAGCCGAAGGATTAGCAGTTCGGGAATTGCTAGTTAGCAGCCAGAGGATTATCTGCAAGTCTTCAAAAGATGCGTCTCATCACTGTGGGTATGGGTCTACGGCCACAATACCGATGCATTTAGTTTATGTATAGTAGGAAGTTCCGGGGGTTAGCCCTAGGCACTATGTATGAAAGACTAGGGGGTAGCTCCTGGCACACAGTATGCTATTATATATGGTAGGAAGACCCGGGGGTTAGCCCTAGGCAATATGCATGAAAGACCAGGAGGTGGCTCCTGGCACATTATATGCTCATTTGTTAAGTAGAGTAGTATGTATGCTAGTTGTCTTTTTTCATACTGCATGGAAGACCAGGAGGCAGCTCTTGGCACTTGTTGGTAAGACCCAGAGGTAGCCCCCGACTTGGCAATAAAGACCACGTGGCGGCTCGTGGCATAACGGCAAGACTATGTGCGGCACATAGCAACTTATTTGATATATGATTGATATGTATGGCTCACAGTATGTATGGCATGTATGGCCCAGTTGATATGTATGGTATGTGGTATTTGGGGAACTGACTAAGCCTCGTGCTTACGGCTTTCAACTTTTGTTTCAGGTACTTATGTTTTCAAAGGAAGAAGCTCGGGGCGATCGCAGCACA